CGCGGGTCCCCCGCAGCCCGCCCCGCCTCCCTTCGCCGACCGGGCGAGGAGGCTACGGCTGCCCCCCCATCACGGCCGGGGACCGAGGCGGCGCCGCCGAGCTGCCCCTCCGCAGTGGCGCGCCACTGGGTCCGACCGCGCGCTTCGACCCCAAGCTGCGGACACACGCCCCGACACAAGGCGGCTGGTCCAAAGGCTAGGAGCAGAGTGCGGTCGACAGCTGCCGCAAGTCCGAAAGCGAGACTGTGCGGATAGCCTCGTGGTGGCGGGGAGCGCCGCCGCCGCACCCGCCCTTGGCCATGAGGGCGCCGCCGTCGCGCGCGCCGCCCAGCCCGCCCAGAACCCGCTTGAGCCGCGCAGCCTTGTCCATCACCGCGTGCACGCCTTGCGCAGCGGCGGGGGGCGGGGGGCGGGGGGCGAGGTTGCGGGGTGGGGTGGGCGTGGGCGCTGTGGCAGCGGGTGTGCGAGGAGGGCCGCTGGCGATGATGCGGGGAGGCGCGGCGGGGAGGCGCGGCGGGGAGGCGCGGCGGGGGAGGCGCGCGCCCTCCGCCCTCGACAGCCCCGACAGCTGCTCGAAGCTTGGCCGCTGCGACTCCCACGCGAGCTCTAATCTCCGCAGCGCCGCAATCTTGCGCCGCAGCTCGCGCTTGGCGGCGACGCGCTGCTGAAGCTGCTCCCACAGCTGCGCCGCCTCCGCCTCCTCCTCGTCCGCGCCGGCCGCCCCGCCGGACGACGCCTGCGCGCACGAGCCTCGGATCAGGCTCGAGGCATGCTTCGGCAGGCGGCGGGCGGCGGCGCCACCGCCATCAGGCCGTCGGGGACGTGAAAGCTCTGCTCGAGCGCGCTGGCCTCGAAGCGATCGAAGCTCACGTCCGCTGCCCGCTGCACCTTGAGCAGCCAGCGGTCGACGCCCTGGACGGGAGGGGAGGGGGAGGGGTCAAGTAGCCGCGCTGCGCCACCGAGGCGGTCTGGGCCAAGCCTGCTCAATGTCCTGGTGATTCTCGGCCAGCTCGGGGAGCCCCTTGAGCGCAGCTTTGAGCGCATCGCCCGCGTCGCAGACATCTGCGCGTCGAGGGGTCCAGCCGTGGCTGAGGAGGCAGGCCTCCGCGGTGCGGCGGGCAGATGAGCGGCGCAGGCGCTGGGGAGGGCGCACAGTCGTTGAAAGCGTTGGTCATGTCGGCGACGGCGGCCCTCGGATCAAGCCCTTCGATGGTCGACATTGGTGGGTCGCGTGGGCGCGTGCTGTTGCTTGCGGCCAGGGCGGTTGGCTTTTTAAGCGCCCCTTTCACCGCGTAAAAAAGAAATTGCTGCGGGAAAGAAAACGACGGTTTCAGCCTGCCAGACGGTTGAAATTCTTGCTTGCATGGCCATTTTCGGCGGTGCGGACTGACTGCGGTCCGCTGCGACGGACTGCTGCGGTCCGCTGCGACGGACTGACTGCGGTCCACTGCGGCCAACCCGCGAGCCGCTCCCGGCTCCGCCCCTCGCCCAACCCCCACCCGCGCCTGCGCCTGCCACCCGCGCCACCTCCCCCACGCGCACCCGCGACGCCAGCCGCCCGCCGCCCACCGCACCGCCGACTCGCCCGCCGCCTCGCCCGGCCCTCGCGCCCGCTCGCTCAACGCGGGGTCAGGAAGGTGAGAGAGGGCGGCCGTGTAGCGGGAGCGCACCTCCTCGACGATCGTCTCGCCGAACTTGGAGTCCTTGAGCTTCTTGGACGCCTTGCCCGGCGTCTGGTTGCCGCCCGGCGTCTCCGCCATTTCGCCCTGTGTGGACAGAGGTGCGTGGGGCGATTCAGGAGTGCCTGGGACGGCGGTGCAGTATGGGGGCTGCAGGGCTGCTCACGAAGTACGCGCGTCCCTTCTGCGGGGTGCTTGCCATGGTGCTGCGGTGCCGAGCGGGGAGAGCGGAGGGTCCGATGCGCTAGATGAATCGAGTTGAGACCGGCGGGCGGGGACACGAATGGGAGAGCTGACTGAACGTTTCCGCAGGCGAAAGGACAAGACGTGCTTTTAAATTGCGGGTCGCGGGAAAAAGAAAACGAAATGCAAAAACCGAGGTGGTTTCAGCCTGCCAGACGGTTGGTGTGTCCGTCACGAGCGCTCGTAGCCTGCCCGTGGGCCACGGCCCTGCCCCAGCCCTCCCCAAGCAGAGTGTCAAGAGCGCCCGCGAAGCGCCCGCCGTACAAGCTTGCGGCCGCCTTTCTCTCATACATGGCGAGGCTCCGGCTCTGGTGCCTCGCTGCCTGGGCCACCAGCGCGGCCGGACGCAGCTGCCACAAGCCCAGCTGCTACTGCGACGACACTTGCATCTTTAGCGGCGATGGACAGTGTGACGATTCCGGCCCAGGCGCGTCGCGCTCTCGCACTCACGTCACGACTCGCCGTGCAAACCCCGTGCTGACTGGCAGCGATCGGCCACCAGCTTCATCCCTTCCACCCTCTCGATCCATCTGGCGACCACACTGCATCCACTTGGCCCCCTCCCTCTCCGCGGCGGCACACTGAAGCCGCAAGCCAAAGCGGCGCCGCACCGCGGGGCTTTGCATGTACACCCCACCTTCACGAGCCCTGCGGCGCCCCACAGGCTCCGTCGATGGTCGGTGCCGGCTTGGAACGGACTGCGCGGATTGCGGCGAGCGGCACGAGCGGGACGTAGGCGCCTTCCTCTGCAGCACGTCCTGCACAGGTGGGCTCAAGGGCCAGTGCGATGACGGCGGGCCTGGTGTGCAGCCCACACTCAAGCCCGCAGCGCGGCATCGCACGCAATCCCGTCCCGAGACGCTATGCGCCGTCCCGTCCTAGGCTCGAGGACCACGGACTGTGCCTTTGGCAGCGACTGCGACGACTGCGGCGTCCGCTTTGCCGAGAACGACGATTGCGACGATGGCGTCATCACCCTCTGCCGGGACGACCACGCCAATTGCGCGTTTGTGCTAGACGGCCACTGCGACGACGGAGGGCCAGGCGCGCGCAAAATCTGACGCAGCCCTGCCCGCACCGCGGGCGCCCACGGCCGAGCTGAGCACGGCACGGTCCTCTCGCGCGGCCCGCAGGTGCGCAATACTCGCAGTGTGCCTTTGCGAGCGACTGCGGCGACTGCGGCAAGCGACAGCGGCCGTGCAAAGATCCGCACCCTGAGGATGCGCTCGAGGATGAGGAGGGGTACTACGATGACGTGGCCGTGACCACCTCCACCGCCTTCCACGCCTCGGCCGGCTGCCACGGCGCGGGCGAGGCGCGGTGTGAGCCCTCCTGCAACCTGCTGCACGGCGGGATCGGCCAGTGCAGCTCGTGCGCGTGCTCGCGCTGCGCCTACTGCGTGCCTCCCGAGTTTGCGCTGCGCCACCCGCCGCCGCCCTCCAGCCGCGCGCCCCTCGCCGCCTCCCGTTTCTCGTGTGACATGCTCGAGGCGCGTCACAACCTCCTCGCGCGTGAGGCGCCGCTGCACTGCTACTCGCTGCAATCGTCGGCCCAGTGCGAGCTCGCCTTCACGTACGACGCACAGGCCGCCCAGATTCCCCTCAGCGTCTGCCACTGGGTGGACAGCCGCTGCTCGCCGCTCCACGCCAGCCCCTCCCAGCTGCACCAGCCCCTCTGCCAGCAGTGGCTCCATCGGAAGCCGGCGCCGCCGCCGCCGCCGGGGATCGCGCCAGCCCAAACCTCCCCGTCTGGGCCGATCGCAAAGCCCCCTCCACCGCCAGCGCCGCCCAGCCCTCCCTCTCCTCCGCCGCCATGCGTGCCGCCCTCGGGGCAGTGCGGCGGCCTCGGCTACGCCGGCCTCAGCACCTGCTGCTCCACTGCCGCGCACCCTGCCTCGTGCTTTGCGCTCGACGAGTTCTCCCACCACTGCCGGCCCGCGTGCGACGATCCCTCGTGGGCGTGCTTCCCCAAGAGTGAGCTGCCGTCGCCTGCTGTTCCAACCATCACGCGGACCCCCCCACCGCCACCAGCCCGGGATCCGCCGCCGCCGCCGCCGCCGCCGCCCGCAAGGTCTCCGGAGCTCATCACGCCGCCCAAGTCGCTATCGCAGCGGCCTGATCAGGCCAAGACTCCCCATCGTGCCCGCCAAACGTCCAACATGCTGAGCGCTATGGTTGCGCTTCCCTTTTTCGTCATCGCGGCGCTGGCAGCAGCGGCCACTCGGTGGTATTGCCAGCAGAGCAAACCAAAGGCTCGCTTATCGACGCGAGCAATCGAAAAGACTCCCCTTTCATCTCGGGCGGTCGAGGGTGGCGACCCTGAGGAGGATGCGGAGTCTGTTGTTGAGATGGTTTCGGCGAGGGCGGCCCTCATTGATGCTGGGCAGAGGTACTAGCGGAGCATCAGCGGCTCAGAGGATTTGGGCCCGGCGGGTGCTGACAGGACACCCGGGTTGAGAGGAGAGGCGCACTGAGAGTCCGAGAGAGAGGAGAGTGAGGGCGCCTGAGGGGGTCACGATCACGACGTGCAAGATGACCGTCGACGACGATGGTCGGAGTGCGCGGGAGCGTGTGCTCGAGGCGTGTGACAGCAGTGTCCACACAGTCGACCCCGCCGTCTCACACACGATTTGCATAGATTTGGGGGGACCCGTGAGCCGTGTGCTCTGGCCTCTGCGTTCCTGCCGTCTTACCCGTACACAGAGATGTGTGCAAAATCATTTTAAGTTTCGCGACTCAGCGGCGACTGCGACTCCGAGCGCCTAGGATCACGCGCTCTCTCGTCGTTCACTGCGACGGGCACGCTCACAGCGAACCACGGCGGGACACATAGACCGCGGCCGTGACCGCCGCTCCCGCCGCCACCCCTCCCCGTCTCTGACCACACAGCCGGCCATGTTAACGCGGCAGCGCGGGCGGCCCAGCTCGCTTCCCACGTGGCCGACGCGCGGTCGAGCCAGTGTCATACCTCCCTACACACAGCCTCACCGGCAGCCGGACAGCGCGGTCGCCGCCTTGAGTCGCAACCTCAGATCGCTCACCTCTCGACTTAGCTCTGCGATGCGCGACTCCACAGCCAGCTTGCGCTTCCGCTCGGCGTTGCTCCTGCCCGCGCTGAGCGGCATCCGCTCGAGCTCGCACTGCAGGAGCCCCCGCTCCTGCGAGAGGGCCGTCAGCCGCCGCTCCATGCACGAGGAGGCGTCCCCGGGCCCCAGCCGCTCACCCGGCGATCCAAACGGCGCCGAGGCGCCGCCACGCTGCTCTGTGCGGGAGGGGAGACCGACAAGCGACCGCTCCTCTCCCGCCGGAGGCTCGCGCGGGCCCGCCGCCAAGGCAGCCTCCCCGGCGAGCGACCCCTCGGCAGGCGCCTCGCCCTGTGGCGGCGCCGAGCGTGTGCAAGCGTGGTGTGCGGGCGCCGCGGCACCCCCGGCCGAGGCGGAGGAGGGTCCGTTCTCCGGAGCAGGCGCCGCCGCCCGCCTGCGCTCCTCCTCCTCGCGCCTCTTCTCCTCCACGCGCCGCGCCCTCTCCCGCCGCTCCTCCTCCTCGCGCGCCCTCTCCCTCTCGCCACGCCTCCGCTCCTCCTCCCGCCTCTGCTCCTCGCGCCAGTGCTCGTCCCGCACCGCCTGCTCCCGCTGCCAGCTCATCTGCTCCTGCCGCAGGCGCGCCTGCGCAAGAGCCTCTCCTGCGGCCGCGCCTTGCCAGCGCAGTGTCGCGTTCTCGCACAGCAGCGATCGCACCATCCTGCGGTCCTCGAGCTGGCTCTGCTCCACCTCGCGCAGCGCGGTCTGCAGCGCGCCCGTGCCGCAGCGGAGCGCCTCCCCGGACCGCACGGCCTCGTCCCTCTCCCGCTCCAGCGCCGCCAGCTGGCTCAGCAGAAGCGCCTCGCGGCGCTGCAGCTGCCGCATCGCGCGAGCGTCGCGTTGGCCCTTGGCAGCCTCCGCGCGAAGCTCGCCGCGCAGCTGCTCCTCGGACGCACGCAGCGAGTCGAGCGACGCCTCCAGCCGGACAGCCTGGGCCCGCTCGGACGCGAGCGCTTCGTTCGCATACTCGAGCTGCCGCTGCAGCGAGCCCAGCTCCTGGTGCAGCCAGTTCTGACCCGGCCCGGGCTCGAAGCTGCTGTCAAGGTTGACGTCCGCGGACGGCTCTGGCGGCGGCTCGCTGGCGAGAGGTTTGATCCCGGCGTCGCACTCGGCGTCCTGGCGGTTGACACACCTCTCCGTGAGCCGGGCTGGGCCGCCGCCCTTGATGCCGGCCGCGTCGCTCACGCCCAGGATGGACAACCACTCGCTATACGTGAAGGCCTCCTCGTCGTCGTCGACGTCGGGCTCGAGGCGCACAACCATGGCGCCCGTCGGGGGGGGCACAACCAGGGCCGTTGCAGCTTGCAGGTTGCCCGGGGCGGGCGTGGGAACAAAGAATTTAAGTCAATATAGATAGTGACCCGCCATAAAAACGGTATGGCCTATGGAGTGATCTCTGCTGCCGCGGCGCCCCTGTCGGTGCGAAGGCGCCCGGCGGCCGCGCGCTTGGTGCCCACGTTGACCGGCTGCTCTCAACACGGAGCCGAGGCGTACCGCTTCGGTCATGCATGCATGTCTCGCGCGCTGCGACTCGGGCAGATTCGACGATTGCATTTTACCACTCGGGCAAACTCGATGAAACGGCGGACGGAAAACGCGTTCGCGGCCGCTCGCCGGAGAGCTATGCATGAAGCGGCCGGCGCGCCACCGCAGCTCACCGATGGAGCTTGCGGAGCGGCTCAATCCACTGGCGCAGCAGCACCGCGACCCATTCTCCAAGCACGGCCTCTGGCGTTGCGAGTGCACAGAGAGCAAGCAATAGTCGACAAAAGCACTGATCTGTGGGCAGCAGATCTCCATGTCGGTCGCGCCCTGCGAAAGGACAACCGCGGGCCGCGGATGCTTGCCCGGACGCGGACCCGCCGTGCGAGTTGCAGACCCGGGGGGCCGTTTCCGTCCGAGACTCAAGAACGTTAATGAGGGCTGCGAGACGGCACCGCGAGTGTGGCGCTACCATCGGCTCGGATACCCTGCACAGCTCACCCTGCACACGTGCTCATCGGGGCGATCGGGCGCACGACCGCACGTTTGCTCGGACAAAAGACGAGCGGCTCCTACGAGCAAGAATACGTTCGCACTGGTGAAGGCCAGGCGAGCCAAAAAGACAAAAAAGACTTATCTAAGCATGTCGGAGAACCGTCCAAAGGCGGGTGCAGTCGACCAAGGGACATGATCTGTCGACAGCACGAATTTGTGATGGGACACCATCGGGACCCAACAGTGCGATACTTGGCTATCGCACTGTTGACGTACCGACGGCTAAGGCCGAGTAGCCGGTGTTTGTTCACAGAGCTCTGTGAACACCGGCAAGAGATTTTTCTCTGAACGATTTCTTCCGAGAACGGCGTGCAAAACACTCGGTGACGGTGTCGAAACACCTCTCTGACGCGCTCGACTTAGTCTGGGCATGGGCACGCAAAAATCTTGTATCAGGGCTTCATACCCGGTAGGAATTCCTACTGTTGTGGCCTAAAGTCTGCGCAGGTTGTGGGGGACACGATCCCGGCGTGAACACGACTAACTGACGGATCCGCTCCTGACAGTCGCACGCGCCGCACTGCGGCGCGTGCGACTGTCTTTGTTTGATTTAAAAAGTCGAATCAGAGCGCCGTCGGCGTTGCCCCCGATTTTGTCCCACGGACCTCCCCTCCGGCACCGCTCCGGGAGGCACGCCGGCGAAGCACCATCAAGCTGCTGTATGTACGGCCCCGGCATCGCCTTCCCAGGCTTAGCTAGCTAGACTGAGAGTGTGTGCCGCCGAGGCGGGACCACTCGGGGACAGTGCTGACGGGACGCGGCTTGGGAGACGACTCCCGCGAAAGCACGGCTGGCATCCGTGGCGTGGGGCTCGCCTTCGAAAAGTCGGGCATGGCTCTCCCCGCAACTCTCTTGCTAACACGCGCGCCCCACCGAAACTGTGGTGGGCGCGCTGCGGCCGCACGTCTACCTCCGTCATAGTGCCACGACGTGCGGCCTAGATTTAGCACACGCGCCTCAGCTCGAAAACACTCACCCATTTGATTGTCACTGTCCGTGAGTGCGAGATTAGGGCTAGCCGCAGGCAGCTAGCCCATGAGGAGAGCGTCCATAGACACCTCACATGACCCCACACACGGTCTCGTCCGTGCCTCGCCGGCCGGAGAGATTGCTGGAGGAAGAGCAAGCCTGCTCTAGCCTCACATGTCACTTCTTGTCGTCTGTTGTTTGAGTTGTGCCCTTGTTTGTGCCCTTGGCACCGTGGAGTGGGGGGGGCGACAGGGAGGATGTGGCCCTGAGTTATGTGTACGCCGACTCAGGGTGTGTGGCAGCCAGCTGGCTGTGTGTCTTGTGAGCTTGTTTGTGTCTGTGTGTCGCTCGTGCGTGTCGTCATCATCTGTCCAGCGTCCACCCATACCGCGTTGGTGTCCAGTCCGAGCCTGGCTGTTCTTCACCTTACTACCTACCTACCTACCTACCTAGGTATTGTGGACATGGTTGGTCTCTACAATATATACACTGACACTGAACCTCCCAGAGCTCGTCCCGGTCCGTCACGGCCATCCTCGGCCTCCGGAGGGCCCACGGCCGCGGCGCGGTGCGGCGGCGTCACAAATCCGACGGCAGAGCACCGGGACGCGGTCGGGCGATCTGAGGCCCGACTAGGCGTATGCATTGCCCATCCAGGGCTATCACCTATGCCTATCAACAGGCGCCTGCGGCGCCATGCTCAGGAGCAGCCAACCTGTTCACACTTTCGTACAGTAGGTGAACCTCCCAGAACTCTCTTCTTCTCTCAGACCACTCCATGCTAACCCGCTCCCTGCTGGCGCAGGCCCGCAGGGCGGCGAGCACTCTGGCCACGGAGCCTGGCCGCACGCTCTTTGTCTCGGGCTCGACGCCTCGCCTCGTCGTGCGCACCAACATGGAGACGTACCTGGCCAGCGTGATGGCGTCCCAGGCGGGAGGCGGCGAGGTGGACGTGAGCGGATGGGCCGGCTCCGACCCGACGGGCGACCTCCGAGTCGTGGCGGCGTGCGACGCAGCGGGCGGCGGCGTCACGACCGTGAGCGTGCCCGCCTCTTTCAACATCGAGGTGGCGATGGGTGGAGCGTGCGACGTGGAGGTGGATGGCTGGATTGAGGGCACGGTCGCGGTGGCAGTGTCGCGGGGATCGATCGTCGTCAACACGGTGCGCGGACTCCTCACGACACTCTCCACGGGCGAGGGGCAGGTGCGCGTCAAGCACATCGAGGGCAACCTCCGCGTCCTCGCCGGCGGCGCTGGCGGCGTCGAGCTCGGAAAGGTGATGGGCGAGGAGGTGGAGGTTGCGTCGGAGGGAGTGGTGCAGTGCCGCGCCCTCTACTCGAAGCGGCTCGACCTCGCCGCCGCCGGCGGCGTGCGCGCCTCTGTCCTCGGCTCCGAGGCGGGCGAGCTCCGCCTCTCGGGAGGCTGCTCTGCAATCGACTCGAGCGAGGGCGACCTGTCTGTGCGGCTTGGCGGCGCCGCGTCGCTCGACGTGCAGGCGGCGGAGGGCCTCCGCCGCCTCTGCGTGAGCCGTGACGCGCCTACCCCCGACCAGCCAGCCGCCGCCGACGACGCCGCCGCCGACGCCGCCGACGTCGTCGTTCATTTTCCAGAGGCGTTTGGCGCGCTGCGAGCAGACCTCTGCGGCGCGAGCGTGGAGATCGACCCTCGCCTCTCGCCGCAGCCGCCCGCGCCGCCGGCCGCGGGTGCGGGACCGGCCCACTGGACAGGCTCGCTCGGCGCGGGCGACGCGGCGGAGAGCGACGCGCACGAACGGTGGCTCGCCGGCCGGACAGAGCGAAAGATGGACCGGTCACCGGGCGGGGTCGAGATGTTCCGCGAGGGCAGCGGCGGCGGCGGCGGCGGCGGCGGCGGCGGCGGCGTGTGCGAGCTCACCGTCGCCGCACCGGCGAGCACCGTCCGCGTCGACGTGCAGAGCTGGTTCGAGCAGCGGATGAAGACGGCGATGAGTGGTGGCGCTGGGAGTGGCGAGGCGCCGAGCCTCAGGGAGCGGCGACCGCAGCCCTACCGCTAAGTCAGGAGCCCGCGCGGCATTTGATAGTGCTTGGGGAGAAAAAGTAGGACTCGAGGTCTTTACACGAGAGCGCCACACTCGCGCCAACACACAGAGCTACCACTGAGCGACCGAGGGGCAGAGGTCGTTGACGTTGTGCGAACCTCCCGTAGCCGTACCTAACTATCGTGCCGGATGCGCCGCTCGCCACTCTCGGATCATCCGGCGCAGCATGTGGTGCGGGGAGAGGCCCATATGCTCAAGCTCACCGCCAGTCATCGGGCTCGTCGACTTGGTCGCGAGCCAGCGCTCGATCGCCGACCGCTCGTAAGCATGCCCGTCCGCCGCCATCACCGGGTCGCTCATGACCTCGGTCGTGATCGGGCAAATGAAGTCGGCTGGTGGCTCCTCCTCCTCCACCGAAGGCGGCCTCTCTGCAGCCAAAGAGGACGACGCTTGCTCCTCCGCCGCCCGCCTCTCCTCCTCCAGCCTCGCGCTCTCCTCGAGCGCCGCCGCCAGCTCCGCCTCCTCTCCCGCCGCCAGCGCTGCCTCATCCTCGGGCTCCCGCGACGGCCCAGCGCCGCCCCCGCCGCCCTTCCCCCTCTTCTTCTTCTTCTTCCCCTTCTTGCTCTCCCTGTCGCGCCCCCCCGCCTCCTTCTCCGCCTCCTCCTCCGCCAGCAGCGCCTCGGCATGCCGCGTCGCCTCCGCCTCTGCCACCGCTCTCACCGCCTCCCTCGCCGCTGCCTCGGCCGCCGCCTCCGCCGCCGCATGCTCCTCGAGGGCGCGCACGCACTCGGCGTGGCCCCTCTCCTTTGCCCACTGCAGCGCTGTCTTGCCGTTCTCACAGCGCAGTGCCGTGTCCGCGCCCGCCCGCAGCAGGCGGAGCACGATGGCGGGCTGGCCTTGGCTGGCGGCGAGCATCAGCGCGGCAAAGCCGCCGTTGCCCTGCTTGTTGATCTCCGCCCCGTGCTGCATCAGCAAATCGACCACCCGCTCGTGGCCGTTGGCGGCGGCGGTCATCAGCGCGGCGATGCCGCCGTTGTTCTGCTTGTTGATCTCCGCGCCGCGCTGCAGCAGCAGATCGACCACCCGCTCCTTGCCGTTGGCGGCGGCGAGTAGCAGCGCGGTGCTGCCCATGCTGTCCTGCAAATCGATCTCCGCGCCGCGCTGAAGCAGCAGCTCGACCACTCGCTCGTGGCCGCGGCGGGCGGCGAATATCAGCGCGGTGATGCAGCTCACATCGCCCTCCCAGCAAGTCGCGTTGACCCGCCCGCCGCTGTCGAGCCACGCCAGCAGCGCCGCCTCGTCGCCTTGGAGAGCCGCGTTCATCGCCTCTTCGGGAAGGCTGCCCAGCGAGCCGGAAGAGGCCGATTCGCCCGAGGAAGCGCCGCCCGCGCCGCCCGCCGCCGCCTCGCGCTGGCCCGCAGTCACCTCCGCGATGTGCTGCCGGAAGGCCTCGACGCACGCGCTGTGGCCGTTCTCCTTGGCCAGCTGCAGCGCGGACTTGCCGTTCCCAGAGCGCAACTTTGTATCCGCGCCCGCCCGCAGCAGGCGGAGCACGACGGCGGGATGGGCGGAGACGGCGGCGAGCATCAGCGCGGTGGCGCCGTTGCTGTCCTGCAGGTTGATCTCCGCGCCGCGCTGCAACAGCAGCTCGACCACCCGCTCGTGGCCGTGGAGGGCGGCGAGCATCAGCGCGGTGGCGCCGACGCTGTTCTGCAAGTTGACCTCCGCGTCGTGCCGTATCAGCAAGTCGACCAACCGCTCGTGGCCGTAGCGGGCGGCGGCCATCAGTGCGGTGATGCAGCTCACATCGCCCTCCCAGCAAGTCGCGTTGACCCGCCCGCCGCTGTCGAGCCACGCCAGCAGCGCCGCCTCGTCGCCTTGGAGAGCCGCGTTCATCGCCTCTTCGGGAAGGCTGCCCAGCGAGCCGGAAGAGGCCGATTCGCCCGAGGAAGCGCCGCCCGCGCCGCCCGCCGCCGCCTCGCGCTGGCCCGCAGTCACCTCCGCGACGTGCTGCCGGAAGGCCTCGACGCACGCGCTGTGGCCGTTCTCCTTGGCCAGCTGCAGCGCGGACTTGCCGTTCCCAGAGCGCAACTTTGTATCCGCGCCCGCCCGCAGCAGGCGGAGCACGACGGCGGGATGGGCGGAGACGGCGGCGAGCATCAGCGCGGTGCCACCGTTGCTGTCCTGCAAGTTGATCTCCGCCCTGTGCTGCAACAGCACGTCGACCACCCGCTCGTGGACTAGCTTGGCGGCAGCCATCAGCGCGGTGTTGCCGTTGCTGTCCTGCAAGTTTATCTCCGCGCCGTGCTGCAGCAGCAGGTCGACCACCCGCTCGTGGCCGTAGGAGGCGGCGCTCATCAGCGCGGTGGTGCCGTCGCTGTCCTGCAGGTTGGCATTCGCGCCGTGCTGCAACAGCAGCTCGACCGCCCGCTCGTGGTCGTAGCGGGCGGCGCACATCAGCGCGGTGTCGCCTTTGCTGCTCTGCTTGTCGATCTCCGCGCCGCGCTGCAGCAGCAAGTCGATTACCCGCTCGTGGCCGCTGTTAGCGGTCAGCATCAGCGCGGTGACGCCGCTCACTTCGCCTATCACACGAGTCGCGTTGACCCGCCCGCCGCTGTCAAGCCACGCCAGCAGCGCCGCTTCGTCGCCTTGCTCAGCCTCGTTCCCAACCGCTTGGGGAAGTCTTCCCACTTTGCCGGTCTCCGCTGCCTCCACGATGGCAGCTCCGGCAACCCCCATCTCTGGCAACTCCGGCGGCGAAGCGGCACCGGCGCTGGTGCCGGACACTGCGGAGTGTACGGCAGGCTCGAGAAAAAGAATTTAAACAAGACAACTCTCTCTCACAGCACATACGGACACATGTGTAAGAGCGCGCACGAGTGGGTGTGCGAGCAATATCGAAAGACAGTGAGGCCGGGGTCGCACACGGCAGGGGTGGCGGGACGGTTGTGGAGCGAAGTGGCAGTAGCCAGCCTCAAGCATCGATGGGATAATAAGATGAGATTACCAGACGAGAACGGGGGGAAGGACAGGCGGGCGACATTTGACGACGTCGGGGATCACAATGTGACGACCAAAACGATCTTGGGGGCCAGGGTGAGACAACAGGTCGGGGTGCCACATGGGGCACACCACAGGCGTATTCTAGAGGGGGAAAAGAAACGGGGAGTGAGGGGCCCCGCCACGAGAAGTGCGTTCTGGGGATGCAGAGCGTGCAAAGCGGCTAGGGATGAGGTCGCAAAAGAGGCGCGCGAGGCAAGGAGGAGACGCGGGGAACTGAAAGACTGGGACGACTGGACACGAGAAGACAGTGTCAGTGAGCCACCACAGGCGTCGTTGGCGCACATACTGAGCGGCAGCTGCGCTGGAAATAAGGAAGAGGCGCGTCACTTCATGCGGAAGCTCGACAAACACACAGCGAGGGCGACAGCAAGAGTTGAACGGGAGGCGCCGGACTCAAAAGACACCGCCACATTCCTGAGACGAGCGAGGGCAGCCTCCTTAAAGGCGAAAGGGTCTAGATTTGGGGCGCTCGCCGAAGAGGAGTACGACAAAATAGCACCCGTGATTGCCTGCACGCTACCCGCACTCACGGACTCCATACCCGAAAGAAAGAGAAGGGAGCTCGCGGGAGAGGTGACGAGTGAACTACAGGTAGTGGGGAAGGCAGCCTCGATTGCCATACAGACATGGGTGCGAAACAACGACAAGACCAAGGCACGGGCAGAGGAACGAGAGAAGAATATAGGGTGGATAAAGCGCCTGTTCACGGCATGGAGGGTGAGCCACACCGAACGTACCGAGCGAAGGGCCGAGCGGAAGGAGGACGGGGAAGATGACTCAGAGGAGGACGAACCAGTGGAAATTCAGTCGTCAGATGTCACGATGCATCCGAAGGGGACCCCAGCGCCAGCATCATCCGTAGAGGCACGAGTGTTCGAAGAGAGAGTGGACCTGAGCAACAACATGACGTGTAGGCAAATGATCGGAGTGGGAGTCAGAAATGTGGTCCTTGCGCGAGGGGAGCTTGATAGACTCGAGGGGCCAGGATACGCCGCGAGGAGGACGGAGTTGCGCAAGGCGAAAGAAGCCGCGAGAACAAGGGACCGGCAGGCGGCGGCGTCGCAGGACGAGGCAGAAGAGAACGACGCGACAGAGGAGGAAGTGACAAGGGAGAGACCGACGAGAGTGGGACGGCCGCGAGGTGGCATGAAGGTTGCAGCGAGAAGCGGCGAGAGACTGCGAAAAGAGATACGAAGAGGCAGACTCCCCAGGGTGGGCGACGGCTAGCGCACCACACTCCTCTCCTTAAAATCCCTGTGTGGTGGCGGCGTGCCGTTCTCCCATCCCTCGCTTGGGTTGTGTGTTTTCTTTCTTTCTTTCAGCACACAGGCTCGACACAGGTGCGAACTGGCGCGTGCTAGTACTATCACCGGCACACCACCGGAGCCGCCTAAGCGACTCCGTTAAGAACGGCAATGCACTTCGCTCCGTGCACAATGCGACTTTTCCCCACTCACTCGAGGAGGGGTGTTTGCCTAGCGGCACTCGAGTGCGGTGTTTTCGCTGTGAAACGATCCAAAAAGCGCATCGCTTGCACTGAAAACCCGCCGGCAAAGCTCGTGTGATGTCGAAAAAAAGTGCGATGTAGGCCTAATAGCCGGCGGTAGCCGTGCGAGCAGCAGTTAGAGCCACGCGCGGCAACAGGTACGCGCCATAGGGATACGACAAGGAGAAAGAAGTGGCCACCAGAAGAGATAGACTGGTACGTCGATGCCTTCCAGCGGAGCTGCAGCTGCGTCACACTTATCACTTATGCGCTGTGTGAGTGCCTGCAGCAGCGCCAATAGTCTCGCGGAGCTTGGCGTCGCGGCCGCCATGTAACAGATAGTGGTGGCTGTGTCGCATGTGAAACAACATGTACATGTACACAAGATACACTTCGAGATGCTGTGCTCTTAGCACACAACAACTGTACTCCAAGGGGTTTGCCGTGCGGGCTTTCCTACGGCTAACGCCGACTCCGTTGGCCCCGGCCGATGAAGTCGGCGTCCCTGTTCTCCACGTACCAACCCGCGAACCCATGGTTCGCCTTGCGCAGGAAGCGTGCCTCAAGCTCTGGGTCGTGTGCCATCACGCGTACGAGCGCCCAGAACGCCGCGCGCGAGAGACCGTGCGCGTGCCCGCCGATGAACGAGTCGAACTCCATCGCATTCATCCGCTTCGCGCGTGCGTACGTCACGTCTCCGGCGACGAGCGCCCATTTCTTCATCTTATCCTGCAGCGCCTCCCGGTATATGGCCATGCGCAGCTCGATCGCCACCTCACGCAGCGTCGCCGCGTCGCGCACGTCGTCGAGCTCCGCCGCGCGCGCCGCGCCGACGTGGTGCAGGTGCGCCTGCGCCGCCATGCACGCCGCCAGCCGCGGCGCGTCGCGCGGCGCGACACGCAGCTCGACGGCGAGCGGCGGGAGCGGCCGCGCCATCACGCCCACCAGCTCGGCGACCACCTCGTCGGTGGCGTCCGCCTCGAGCGCCGCCATCAGCCACGCCCAACCGCCGCGCGCGGCGAGCGATCGGCGCAGCGCCGTCGCGAAGCGCACGGCGCGGCGGAGCGGCGTGAGCTCCTCCTCGACGAACGCCGCGAGCGGCGCGGCCCCCGCGAGGGAGTGCTCACCCGAGCAGCCCTCGCGCACCGCCTCGACCGACGGCTCGTCGTCCTCCACGCCCGTCGGCTGCGGCGCCGAGCCGGCACTCACGCCGAGTGCGGCGCGCAGCAGCTCATGCGCGCGGCGCGTCGTCGCCGCCTGCTCGCTGCTAGCCGTGTCGGCGCGCAGCCGGCGGCGTGCGGCACGCGAGAGGCTCTCGTTGTACAGGTTTAGCATCGCCGGCACACTCAGCCCGCCCACCGCCGCATCGCCCACCGCCGCATCGCCCGCTGCCGCATCGCCCGCCGCAGCATCGCCCGCCGCCGCATCGCCCGCCGCCGCATCGCCCACCGCCGCATCGCCCACTGTCGTCGGCCAGTCGAGTGCAGTCAGCGCGAGCAGCAGCTGCACCGGGTGCGAGACGCCGTCCGCCTCCGTCAGCCCGCCCCACTCCACGAGCCACTGGCGCAGCAGCGTTGCGTACTTGTTGTCGGCGATGGCTGCGCACTTCCGCACGCCCCACAGAGCTCGCACCGAGTAGAGCACTCGCAGCGCGAGGCGCACCTCGGCCTCGCCCATCGCGCCGCCGCCGCGGCGGCCGCCGCCGCTGCTACCGTCGGCGGTGAGCGCAAGCAGCGCGTGCGCGTGGAGGGCGACCTTCTGCTCGCCCCCCATGTACATGAAGAGGTCGCGCGTGAGCGTCACGGAGGTGAGCGTGTCGGCCAGCTTCGAGGTGCACACGAGGCGCGACGCGCGCGGGCAGCGCGGGTCGACGAGTGGCAGCACGTCCTCCACCGCGCAGCCCTCGGGCGCCTGCACGGCGTGCCCCGACTGCAGCGCGCAAAGCAGCGAGCCCGTGTCGACGGGCGACGGCAGCACGCGCGCCACGCGCATCGCGAACGGGTCCATCTGCGTCGCGTCGCTGCGGCGGATGCCGAGCGGCACGCCGTGCATGCCGACGAACATCAGCGCGTCGTACTCGCACTCCGCCTCGTGCGTGAGCGCCGCCGCCGCGCCCGACCACTCGCCGAGCTGCTGCGGCTGCGTCAGCAGCGAGAGGTAGCTCTCGACGCCGCCGCCGCCGCCGCCGCGGTCGTACCGCTCGAGCATCGCCGGCAGCGCCTCGTCGAGCGCCGCGAGCGACAGCGCGCTTGCCTGCTGGTCCTCCGCCGCCGACACGATCGCCTCCGCCTCGGCCGCTGCAGCTGCTCGACCTCCGCCGCCGCCGCATCCACCACCACCACCGTTCTGGTCGCCGAGCAGTGCGCGCAGCAGCGCCTCGATTTCGTCGCCGCCGCCAGCCGCGCAGCGCCGCAGCACACCGTCGCCGTGCGCGGCGGCGAGCGCGCGGGCGCGAGCGACGGCGTCGACGCGCAGCGCATGCGGCATCGCGGCGCCCACCTCCTTCACGCTCGTGACGATCTCCTCCAGCAACGGCGCGCCTGCCGCGGTGCCCGCGCGGCGCAGCGCCTTGCCGGCATACTTGGCCGTGCCGCCGGTGAGGAAGGCTGCCTGCGCCGCCGACGAGTCGGCTGCGAAGGCCGTCACCTCCGCCAGCTCGTTGCGCAGCTCGCGCGCCGCGTGCAGCGCGCCCACCAGTCGCTTGCTCAGCCGCACGCGCTCCGCCGGAGCCAGCCGCACAAAGTCAACACGCCCGTCGTTGCCTCCGCTCGCCGCAGCTGCCTCTGCGGCGCTCTGGGCCTCCACGTCGGCAATCAGCCGGGTGAGATAGGCGGTGGCCGCACCTGTGTCGGCGGAGCCCGCCACGCGCGAGACGCGCAGCTGACCAAGCAGCTTACTCACCGCCGCTGCAGCCGCCGCCGCGTCGAAGGGCACGCACTGCACCGCGCAGCGCACGCCGCCCACCATCAGCGCCGGCGGGCCGTGCTGCTCACCGCCGCCGCCGGTGAGTAGCAGCGTGAGCGTCGCGTCCTCCTCCGCATACACGTCCATCGCGCGCACCGAGCGCCCCGCGCTCTCGACGAGCTGCCACGAGCGCGCCTGCGCCTCGTCGCCGCCGCACGCGAGCGTCACGACACGCCCGCCAAGGCACGAGCGCACGCCGCTCTTCAGAGCGTCCAGCGTCTTCTCCATCTCGGACGTGGTGCGGCAAAAGTAGATGGGCGCCAGCCCGCCGATCGGCACAGTCTCGAGGCTCGTCTTGCACAGCATGCCCAGTTGCGTCTGGCTCGACGCGCTTACGCCAACCACGATGCAGGAGACGCGTGCCCCGCTCCGCACCAGCGCAGCACGCATGTCCGGCAGCTCGCGCGACGGCTGCGGCCCACAGTTGTGCCCGCCGTCCGAGAGCAGCACGATGACGTGATGGACGAGCGACGGCGCCCTCTTCACGATGTCCACCGTGTTCTTCAGGCCAGCGCTGATGTTCGTCTGGCCCTGCCGTGGCAGCGCGAGCTTCCGCATTGCCTCAGCCGAGGTGATCGAGGTCGACATCGTCGTGGCTGCCGAGTCGAACACCGTCAGACTGCAAGGCGCAGTGGCCTGATCGACGAGCGGCGCAAAGGAATTCTTCGCGGCCTCCGTCTGCCGGCCCATCGACCCGGAGTTGTCCAGGCAGATGTGGAACGCGATGGGGCTGGCCTTCTGCTTGGCACTGCACGGCAGCGTGAGCTGAACCACGTGGTGATCGGAGCCGAGCGGGAAGGCGGTGCACTTCATGGTCATGTTGGCCGTCGTCGCCAACTGGACCTGTCACCGCGATGTCCATCCAAGACGCGTCCCGTCGTGGGGGACTGCGCAGGAACTGGCGCCATCTCGGCTTTAGAGGAAGCGGCAGCGTGTTTACTTTAAGGCCCTTTCCCTGCGAACGCGCACCCCCAGGGCTAGGGCTTTCTTGCCCGTAACCCGATGCCAATCATCCGGCCCGCTGGGTGCGCTTCTTAGCTCCCCGGCCCTGGATGTGCGGTTGCTAACTGCACTCCAAGAAAGTGCTCCAAGTGGGAAGCAAAGCAGATGGAGGCGGCGCGGCATGCCAAGGAGCTGCTGCTGGCGGAGGTTGAGCGGCTAAGTGCAGCAAGGGCCAAGGGCGAGAAGGGCAAGAAGAAGAAGAAGAATGTGGGCGTGGGCGATACGGGCGCCGCTATAGGCTCAACGAGAGCTCGTAGCGAGAATGTGTGCAGTTAGAGAGCTCGATTTTGATGACAATTCTGCAAAGGGGTGTTCACGGAGAGAACATCTCTGGCAGCTCCCACGGCCGAAATATGTTCGCAAAAACAAGCCGGGCGTCACAGGGGCTGGGCGCCGAGGACGAGCTTTTCGGGGTCGGTCTTCGCATGCCTGCGCTCCGTACGCACCAGCTGCCGAGGGGCGCGCACTTCCCGCCTCAAGTACCGCTCGACGAGTCGAGTTATTGGCCGGCGACCGCTGCTGCGACTGGGCGACGCGCCTGTCACGGGGGCTGGGCGCCGAGGGCGAGCTTGCCTGGGGCGCTCTCCGCGCGCACGGGTTCGCCCGCGGCAGCTGCTGAGGGGCGCGCCATGCTCCTCTCGATGATCGACCGACGAACCGATATCTTGGCCGGCGACCGCTGCTGCCGTGGGATGGCGCGCCTGCAGGAGGGGCTGGGTGTCCAGGACAAGCTCGCGGGGCGGGCTCTCCGCGACGATCAGCTTCGTGCGTGTTGGGCCCCGACGCGTGCGCTCTTCCAGAGCCGCGCGGCCGTCAGCCGCTGCCGGGGGCGCGAGTGCGCGTTTGAGCAGAGGGCTCCGCCGCCTGCTGTCTTCATGTCCGGGCGCCGACCGTCGCCTCTGATGTTTGGGTCGCGTGCGGGTGGCCAGCGACGCCGCTGCTCGCGCGTGTCGGCACGATGCGGCTCCGTTGGCCTGACATGCACCCCGGAAAATGCGACACCGCCAAACGCCGCACCGGGGGCGGCCCCCCTCGGCCTCGCGCCCCTCGCCCTCTCCGACGGTGTGCGTTGTGGCTCTGCACTGAAGAGCTGATTATGTGCGCGACAGTACGAGAAAAATCACCGCCCAAACAGCGCGCGTAGTACTATATTGCAACATGCCCGCCCGTGTGGGGGCGTGTCCGCCTCCCGGCGTGCATTGTCTCCACAGTACTACTGCGGAATCAGTACGCGCGCGCGTGCGCGCAGTAGCCAGTAGTCAGCCGGGGCGCTGGGGGTTGAAGAGACGTGGGGCGCGCTCGAGGTCGACAAGCCTCCCCCTCCCCTTGCCCGCGTCTGGCCAGCGCGCCGCGACCATGCTGTCAATGTCGAGGCGCAAGCATCGCGCGCAGTCCGAGCTGCGCAGCTCGACAGGAGGTGCGGGGCCGGCGGCGGCGGCGTCGAAGGAGAGCTCGCCGCGGCACTCCTGGCAGACAGCGAGAGTGCCGCGGAGCGCGGCGACGCTGGGCGTCGCGCAGCGCGCCGCCGCCAGGCGCCTCGCCGCGGCGTCGCGCTCGGCGTCCTGGCGCGCCGCCTGCAGCAGCGGAGAGTGCTCCGCCGTGTCGGCCGCGAGGAGGAGGCGCCTCGCCCGCGTGCGCAGCATGACCAGCCGAGGGTACGTGTACCAGTGCTGTGGCCACGACTGTGGCAGCTGGTGAGGGCGAGTCGGCGCGATGCCCCGCACTGCAGCTGAAAAGCGCCGCCAACTGGTACAGCCGAGGGTACGTGAGTGACCAGCTGGGCCACGGCGACCAGCAGCAGCAGCTGCTGCCCACGAAGCTCGAGGCCTTGGCTGACCAGCGCGTCGTCACCGTGTCGGCGGGATGGGGCCACAGCCTCGCCCTCACCGCCGACGGCAGCGTCTGGAGCTGGGGCTATGGAGGGCGAGGCAAGCTGGGCCACGGCGACGAGCAGGACCAGCTGCAGCCCAAGAAGGTCGAGGCCTTGGCTGGGCGGTGCGTCGTCGCTGTGTCGGCTGGAGGCGAATACAGCCTCGCCCTCACCGCCGACGGCGCCGTCTGGAGCTGGGGCCGGGGAGCCTCAGGCCAGCTGGGCCACGGCGACCAGCAGCAGCAGCTGCTGCCCAAGAAGGTCGAGGCCTTGGCTGGCCAGCGCGTCGTCGCTGTGTCGGCTGGGGTCCGCCACAGCCTCGCCCTCGCCGCCGACGGCGCTGTCTTTACCTGGGGCCAGGGCCGTCACGGCGGCCTAGGCCACGGAGAGGACCTGTCGAACCAGCTGCTGCCCAAGAAGGTCGAGGCGTGGGCGCCGGGGAAGTGAGAAGCCCGCGCAGTTGGACAAGGAGGGGATGCTCAGGCTTCTCGCGGAGCTGAACCAAGTGAGGATTCGGTTCGGCGTCACGGCGGGGCCGAGCCCGAGGGTGGGCGCGGCAGCGGTGGCAGTGGAAGCCGCGGCGGCGGGCGGTGTAGAGGAGGCCGCGGCCGCTGAGCTGGAGGGGGCGAGAGGATGTGAGATCATGTGACTTGTGAGGGATGTGTTTGGCTCGTCTTGCGTGCCTTCCCTTGGCTCTCCGTTCTCCGAAGGGAAGAGGCTCTCGATCATTCATGGTACGACTATCGACTAACAAAAGGCAGCATAGACGAAGTGGAAAACGACACACAACGCCGTGACTGTCGAGACGCAGCTGATATGTCAGATAAAAACCCCTTTGCAGCCAAGCCTACTGGCACCTAATTTGATGAGAATTATCTCATTTTGTTTTTGAAACGCCCAAAAAATCGGCGCCTGCGGCGGGCCACTGGGGCTCCCGCCCCAGACCCCGTTTACACATGAGCTATGCCCCACGACCTGAGCCGGAGCCGAACCTGACGAGGCCTGTAGCAGCTCGACGACCTGCACCAGCCCGAACGGTGCGAGGGCGTCCTCGACGGCGGTGGGGGGGGGGGGGGGGGCAAGGTGGGTGGGTGGGGCGGGGGGGGGGTGGGGGGGGGGGGGGTTTTAAACCCGGACCTAAATCCAAAAGCCGGGGAAAATTTTTTGGAAAAAATTTGGTTCCGGGGGCCCCAAGTTTTCCCTTTTTTAGGGGGGCAAAGGGGGTGTTCCCCCGGGCCCCCCGGGGGGTTCCCTTCCGGGGGGCTTGGGCGGGTTTCGGCAACCCCAAACGGGGGGGTGGGGGGGCCCCTTTTTACCCCCTTTGGGGGGAAGCCCCACCCCCCGGGGGGGGGGGGTTGACCCCCCCTTGGGTTTTTTCCCCCTCGAGCCTCGCAATTTTGCTGTTTAGACTGGTTAGCTTGGTGCGCGTCGTGTTCTCTGCGTGCGCGAGGGGAGGCGTCAGCAATGCGGTGCGCGCAAGATTTCTTCTTGCGGAGGAGCGTGGTGCTGGATGTGCTCTCGAGATGGAGCGCGGGGGACGGGCGGAGGCGGACAAAGTCAAGCGGGGCTGCCGGGCAGGGCCCGTGGGCGAGACTGCGCTAGCGGTATATCACATAGGGTATGTCTCTTTACCACACGTGTTGACAACACAAACTCGCGCTCTCTCAGGAGAAAAATCCCTCAGAGAGAGAGATATATAATACGAGGGAGACAGACCATTACACTTTAGGACACATGTTGGGCAACGCAATCCTTTCAATTAAGCCCAGCTTGAATGCGTCGTGCGAGCTCGTGATCCTCGTTGATTTGTAGCAACCTGCGCTGCTCCTCGCGGAGCATCCGCTGTGCCATTGCTTCATCGTCTCGCGGCTCGAGCGAACAGCTCCCACCGCCTGCTGGCCTAAGGTCGAAGCTGGTCGAGTCGATTGCGTCGTCAGGCACGTTACCATCCCAAGCTGGCCATTGACTGATGTCGGCAGCAAACCACCCGCAGCGTGGGCATGCGTTGCCGTTGTACGCGTCGCGCCGGTGAGTGGTGAGTGCTGAGCACGCATAGTGCTCGATCGGTCCATAGCGGCATTGGCCACACATGCGAGCCCCCGGGATCGAGGCGCGAAGCTGCTGGGCGAGCAGAGTCCTATTAATCCCCCGCGAACTCTGTTGCAAGCGGTTGGCCATCTCTCGCACGGTCTCCACCAGCCGCTCGTTCATCTCCATGAACACCCGACGGCGAATATCGCCGCTCCGCTGAGCATCAAAGACCGTGTAGTCCTCTGCACTTAGGAACCTTGCCACGGATTGGTTGTCTAAACTCGCTGTGCAGCCGCCGGCAGCATCGGGATAGCAGACGCACGGAATTCGTCCCTCGTGCTGCTGCGTCAGATCCGAGGGGCCGCGCTCGAGCAGGTCGTGCGCGTAACCCTGAAAGCACTCACCGCACATGCCGTGCGCGTTGCTGCAGTGGATGACCGCGGTCTCACTGAAGCAAACGCAGCACTGGTCCGTCTCTTTGGCTGAGAACAAATGACTCATGGCCGAGCACATTCTCGCCACCTCCTGCATCGCCGCAATCACCCTCGCCGCCGCCGCCGCACGCCGCTCGCGCCGCCGCCGCCAATGCCGCACCGCCGCCATCACCGCACATGCCGTGAATTCGGCGTCGCCAATGCACGCGGCTCGTATGAGGTCAGCCATAAGGCCCAACGGTGAGCTGCTGTACGGTTGACGCACGGACAGAAGAGGCAGAGGCAATAGACGCGAGAGGAGTCGGGATGAGGACGCGTCTCAGACGAACGCGGTGAACGCGGGTGAAGGCCTCGTGAAAGGCCTCGTGAAGCCCTCGAAGGCCTCGCGTGGCCGGTCGTTGCGCGCAACACTCTGGCTTGAAATTTATTCTTTCTTGCGCGTTGCACGGGCAGCGTACGCCTCGCAGCAGCGGGCGCCTCGCCTGGAACTGGACAGGGCCCGTCCGGAGTGCCCCTACTCTAGCGCTATCGTGGTGGGTCCGCGGATTCGTCTTGAGTACTGAGAGCAGCTCGGGCCGAGCTTGGATGCCGTACATCGCTTCCTCGGGCCAGGAGTTCCGACTCGACGGCCCTCAGCCTCGCCGGCGCTCTGACGCCTCTGTCGGTCTTCTTCTCGCGATAGCTCTCATCATCTGTGTCGGCGGTGCCTATCTCGGTATGCGCATGGTCTCAGGATCGTACTCACAGGGAGCCTGAACGCTTCCGAGCCAGCATGGTCGACAACGCGAGGATAGAAACTACTACCATCACCACATCCGCCTCCGCCGCCGCCTCGTCCGCGACTGCCACCGTAGATGCCGAGGCCGCAGACGGCCGGCTTTTTGCGCTGCAGCCGGAGCTGCTGCACATGGCACTGCTGCTTCTACCACCCGCGGCGCTCTGCTCCTTCGCCTGCTGCTGCCGGGCTGCCGAGGCGGCCAGCAGCGAGGCGGCGAGGCAGCGCTGCGCGGCGTGCGGCGTCGATCGCAAGGGCGCGTGGGCGGCCAGGCAGTCGTGGCGCGTGCAGCTGGCTGGGCGGCGCTTCGGCCGCCCTCACCTCGGCCCGCGCTGCCAGGTCGCCTCGTCGTCGGCGCACCGCACGCGGCGCGCCGGCAGCGCCGCGTCGCTCTTCGCCGCTCCGACAGCGGTCCTGAGCCTCTGCGCGCCGGAGGAGCGAGCCGCCTTCTTTGGCTCCGCCGCAGAGCCGCACCCGCTGGTCGCCGTCTGCGACGCGGGCAGGCGCTCCGTCGCCTTTGTGTCGCTGCGCCCGGACGGCGCGCGGCTCGAGCGGTCTGCTCCGGTGGACGGCGCCCCGTGCGGCATCTGTTCCGCCCCGTGGGGTGGAGAGCCGGCCTTCGCCGTCACGGTGCAGGGCGAAAACGAGACTGGCCAGCCTCTGCCGGGCGTGGCGAACCCGTCCCACCGCGTCGTTCTGGTCGGCCTGCGCAGCGGTCGAGTGACCCCCGCCGGAGGCAACGACGGCTCGGCCATGCTCTCGTACCCGAACGGGCTGTGCGCGCTGCCGCCGACGTGGCACGCGTGGAGCGCCGCCCCGCGGCTTGACCGGCCCGCCCGGCTGCTCGCCTGTACCGACTGGAACCACTCTCGGGTGGTGCTGTGGGGAGTGGACGACCCTGCCGGCGCCGCGCGCTACCTCGCCCGCGGAGACGGGGGCGGCGGAATAGACGCGGGCGGGTTCAGCCGCCCGTCGGACATAGTGCGCTTCGAGCTCGGCGGCGGCGGCGGCGGCGGCGGCGTCGCCGACCACTTCCTCGCGGTCGCCGACTACTACAGCAATCAGGTGCATTTCTTCGCGGCCGGCTCGAACCGCGGCGAGGTTGCGCCGTGCGGCTGCCTGCGCCAGGCGAGACGCGGCCGGCCGCTCGATCGTCCTTCGGGCGTCGCCGTGCTCCGTCCCCCGGAGTGCACCTCGAGCGGCGTCTTCTTGCTCGTCGCCGAGGCGGGGGCGATGTGCGTCTCCGTCTTCCGCGTGGCGCGGCGCGACGGCGGCGAGCCGGTGTGCACGCACGTCGCCTCGCTGTGCGACGAGCTGCTTGGCACCGGAAGGCACCAGCCTGAGCTCGGGCTCTGGTCGTGGCTCAGTGTCGCGTGTTCGCGCGCGGGAGACATTTGGGTGACTGACGCGGACAACGGGTGTGTCTACCTCGTGTGACTGCTGCCGTTCGTCTTTTCGGCGGCAGTGGCAGCGGGGCGGCAGCGGCATAGCGGCGGTGCGCGGAGGCGGTGGCGGGCCGCTCGCCGCGAAAGTGCTCTCTACCGAAGTGGCATGGAAGTCAGGGAGGGACCTCACTGTCTGGCCTCTAGATGTCCTTCTCCCCTGCTCCCCAGCCGCAGCCCTAGCTGGCCTGCCGCTGCGTCGCCGTCGCGGTGTGTAGCCCCCATCGTTGGGACTAGTGTCGCTCTCCCTGAACTTCTGCATGTTAATACTTTTAAGTCCTCTCTCCTTTTTGTGGCCTCACTTGTGTAGGGTGGAAGGGGGGGGGGGTGAGTTTACAGTTTTGGAGAGTGCGGGGGGGGGGCGACCACCCCAGCCACGCTCTCCACCCCCGAATGTGGCCGGTTTTAGGTTTTACAGCGCAGGGCACTGCCACTCACTGGACACTGCAAAACGTTATGATTCTGGTCGTTATACGTTAATTGTTGTCAGTGTGCGGAGCAGCCGGCAGCCCAGCATGCAGCACCGCCACACTGTGCCAGTTACACAATTACCAGCCCGCTCTCTCGGCCGGCATGCCGGGGTCACTCTCAGTGTCTCATCAGACCTCCCCACACACCGCAAGAGAGTTCATCACGCCGTGGCCACAGACGCTCACAGGAAGGAGTACTTGACCTTGTTGCCCTCGGGCAGCGAGAACTGCTGCACCGGGCCCGACGGGCCCGCAAAGGCGCCCGCCACCGACGCGACCTGCTCGTCGGGCAGCGCGTCCGCCTCCGGCTCGTCCGCGCCGAGCGTGAGCTCGTCGAGCAGCTCCTCGAGGCCGACATCGGGGAAGTCGTCGTCCTCCGCCTCCTCGCCCTCGCCGTCGGCGTCGCCGCCGCTCGCCGCGCCCGAGGCCGCCGCCTGCGCCGCCGCCGCCGCCGCGCGCCGGTCGGCCTCCGGGTCGCGGTAGAGGTTGATCTGGGCACGCATCTCCGGGTCCTCCTCGAGATCCTGCATGAACTCCTCGTACTCGTGCTCGTACTGCGACGTGTCGAGCTTACGGCCGCGCTGCGCCGTCCACTCGGACTCCTCCTGCTCCTTGGCGAGGGACTGCAGCTTCCACGCGCGCCGGCGCGGCTTCCTCCGCCGCTCGGAGTAGCTCTTCTTGACGAGCAGTACCTAATCAGTCATTCACACCTCATTCCTCATTCACAACTAGTGATACCTCATCCTTCCTGACGAGCAGCACCTCGGGCAGCTGGCCACACTCATGCTCGGACAGCTCGCTCGGCAGCGTGGACCCGCTGACCGCGTAGCCCCACACAAAGTCGCCCACGCGAAGCACGTTGCCGAGGTGCGTCAGCGTGCGCACCGTCGTGTCGTTTGCTCCGAAGTCGTCGCGCCGCGCGACAGTCACCTCGGCGAGGCAAGTCGGCTCGCGCGAGGGCCCGTCAACCGGCGCGTCGCTCGAGGAGCGCTTCTTCTTCTTGCCGCCGCCGCCGCCGCCGCCGCCGCCGCCGCCGCCGCCGCCGCCGCGCTGCCGCTCGCGCGGCGCCTCGATCTCGAGATCGAGGACGACGAACTCGGCCAGGCAGGAGCGGGTGAGGGCGGACGCGAACTGCTTCTTCCAAAATGTGAGCGGGAGCAGCTCGGCGGTGCGCATCGTCTTTGGGTCGATGAGGTGGACGATGTTGGACACCTGTGCACCGACCCGCCCCGCTCATCGAGGGCTAGCTCACGGACCATCTCGCCATATCTCGCCATATCTCGCCATATCTCCCGAGGGCTAGCTCATAGGCCGCGTTCTCTCCCCACAGGGCCGAGGGGGTGGCGCGGCGCTGGTCACGCGCACAGCCGTCGGGTGGGCTGACCCTCTACCGCAGGCTCGCCTCGGGGCGGTGCCCATATCTCGCCATATCTCGCCATATCTCGCCATATCTCGCCATATCTCCCCAGCCGGGACGCGCCTTGTTGCAAAGCATGAAGCGCGGAACCTGCCCCACCGTCGCCGCCGTGCTCGCCGGCAGCCAGAGCGCGTCGCCGCGGCAGATTGGCAGCAGCTCCACCGAGTAGGTGAACTTGTACCGCCCCTTCCCCGTGTGCGTGTCGGTCGAGATGAGCTGCTTGGATGTCTTGTACCGGGTCGGCGCGACGCCCTGCAGGAAGGCGGTCATCTTCTCGGCGTGCGAGCGCGCCTCGTAGAAGAAGTCGAGCCCGTCGCGCCGCTCGACGATGTTGATCGCGTCCGTGTGCGCGCGGTGCTTGAGGATGAGCTGCTCGATCCAGAAGAACGTCCGCTTGTGCTCCACCTTTTGCCGAACCTACCGGCAGAGAGCGGCGCGCATTTGGAGGAGCGAGCGAGCGGAGGGAGGGGGGAGTGCGCCGGTTGGGCGCTGCGACGAGGGGGTGCGGTGCGAGGCGCGGTGGCCAAGTGCGGCTGGAAGCGCGGACACGGTGCGACTGGCGGCGCTGACAAGAGGCGGGGTTGCCGGCACCTGGCAGACGGCGACCCACGTGTCCTTGGCCTCTCGCCGCTGGCAGGTGCCGCACTGCTTGTTGCCGAGGACGTACTCCACCACGAAGGACTGCTGCAGCACCGCGCCCGCCACCACCTCCTGCTGCACCGTCAGCTTGAGCTTGATGCGACGCGAGTGAGGCTCGGTCCAAACATACGAGGCGTCGATGAGCCGGACCTGCGTCAGCCCGCGCGGCTTCTTGAGCAGCAGCGCGAGGAGCTCCTTGGACTCCATGTCCACCTCCGCCCAGCTGCCGTCCCGCCGCTCGAACCGGTTGCAGCCGCGGCACGTGTTTTGCTGGACCTGCTTCGATACTCCTGCGCCGATGTCGTAGCGCTCCTGGAGACAGTTGACGCACATATTGACCGCGTTCGGCTCGATCACGACGGCGCACTGGCAGCAGAGGATCTTGTGTGGCTGGTCCAGGATCATGGCCATGGTTTTGGCCTGGGCCAAGGTAGGGAGCGTGCCGCGATCTTCGTCCAGGGGCAGCTGACTGCGTGTGCGTTGCTTGTGCTTGTCGCGTCGACGCGCGGATGAGGGTTTCTTTGAGCCGGTGTGGTTGCCAGTTCGCGCGCCAGTCCGCGCCCTTGTCGTGCCAGTGTGCTGTGAGAGAGGCTTGTATTTTAAGAATTCTTTTTTCAGCAGCAGGGCACGGGACCTCCCTTTACATATAAGCTGTGTTCCGTGTGTGTGGCCTCGTCGGCTGTGAAAAAAAAACGCGCGGTCGAGCTGGGAATAGATTCGCCGCAAGCGGCGTGGAGCGGTTGAGCATCCCTCCGGGGGCCCCTCTGCGCCGGGGAGGCGTTGTTGGAGGCTAGGACGCAAGCGTCCGTCGCCCTTTTTCAAACTCGGGGCCCACTCCGCTACGCTCCGACCCGAATTTGCTGCGGCAAAAAACGACGTGGCTCGCAGGCTGACCCGGGGAAGCATTCACGCATCACGGGTTCGAGTCGTCAAACAATTATTAAGCAGCGGAGGTGTGCCGAGCGAGGGGGGCCGGGAGGCGGTAAGTCGTCGTCGCCCGGGGCCCGGCGCTGCTTGCAGCACCATGGCGATGGCGCTAAGTAAGATGCTCCTCTTTTCCGCGCGCCCCCGCAAGGCGCGCGATACTGAGGGAGGGTGTAGAGGATGTATGTAGAGTGTAGAGCGCTGTAGAGCTGTAGAGATGTAGAGCGCTCTGGAGCGCTGTAGAGCTGTACCGTACAGGCTGTAGAGCTCTACATCCGCCGCGTGACGAGGCGCGTGCGTTGTAGAGCGATGTAGAGCGCGATGTTGCTGTAGTAAGAGTTTGTTGTAGAGGCTCTACAGCCAAACCGCCGGGAAGGCAGTGACTCAAAGTACACGTCGCTGTGAGCCTCGCACTCGCCCACCGGAAGGGGCTCCAGCAACGTCCAACGACACCCGATACAGTACGACTGACAGTGATCCGGCGAACACCGGCGGTGAGTACCGGCACCATCGCACGGCACTCGCCTCTGCGGTGTTCGTGCGTCGCCCATCTCTCGGGGAGATGCCTGCTCTATTTATTTATCGGTTATCGCTCTATCGGCTATCGCTCGACAAGTCGACCTTCTTGGGCAGCAGCTGGTTCGAGTCAGCTCCGTGTCCTAGGCAGCCGGTGTCGCCCCCGCCCCAAGTAAAGACGGCCCCATCGCCGGTGAGGGCGAGGCTGTGGCGGACTCCAGCCGACACAGCGACAACGCGCTGGTCAGCAAAGGCCTCGACCTTCTTTGGCAGCAGCTGCTGCTGCTCATCGCCGTGGCCCAGCTGGCCACAACCTCCCCAGCCCCAGCTCCAGACGGCGCTGTCGGCGGTGAGGGCGAGGCTGTGAGCCAATCCAGCAGACACTGCGAGGACACGCTGTTGAGCCAAAGCCTCGACCTTCTTCGGCAGCAGCTGGCGCTGCCCGCCGCCGTGGCCCAGCCAGCCTTCCCCTTCACCACCCCAGCTCCAGACGGCGCCGTCGGCGGTGAGGGCGAGGCTGTGGCGGTCTGCAGCCGACACAGCGACCACGCGCCGACCCGCAAAGGCCTCGACCCTTTTTGGCAGCAACTGGTCCTGCCGGTCGCCGTGGCCCAGCACGCCATCGTCTCCCCAGCCCCAGCTCCAGACGGCACCGTCGGCGGTGATGGCGAGGATGTGGCCGTCTGCAGCCGAGACAGCGACCACGCGCTGGCCTGCCAAAGCCTCGACCTTTTTCGGCAGCAGCTGTTTCTGCTGGTCGCCGTGGCCCGGCCGGCCAAAAGCTCCACTGCCCCAGCTCCACACGGCCCCGTCGGCGGTGATGGCAAAGCTGTGTGCGAGTCCCGCCGAGACCGCGACGACGCGCTGATCAGCCAAGGCCTCGACTTTCTTGGGCAGCAGCTGGCTCTGCTCGTCGCCGTGGCCCAACCGGCCCCCGCCTCCCCAGCCCCAGCTCCAGGCGCTGCCGTCGGCGGTGAGGGCGAGGCTGTGGTAGGGTCCAACCGACACGCTCACGGCGCGCTCGCCGCCCAGCGTCGACGGGAGGCGGGTCGGCGTGTTGAGCCGCGTCACGCCCTCGCCGTGACCGAGCAGTCCTGGCCTCCAGATCTCAGCCGCCCCGCACGACGAGAGCCGCCCCTCGCCGTCGATGAAGAGGCTGTGCCGAGCGCCTGCCGCCGCCCTCGCCGGCGGGTTGGACTCGCGCAGCAACGCAGAACAGCACAGCCACCGCACGGCACAGCTCTCGCCCGCTGGCGGCGCCGGCAGCTCGAAGCCGCGCTCTTGCGCCCACAAGCGGATGCCTTCCTTCGCAAGCGAAGCGTGGAAGATGTGCGAGACGGCCGCAACGCGAGCGATGTCGGCGGGGTCGCAGCGAGAGACGACGCGCACGAGGAGCTCCGTGGGGAGGTCGAGGAGGCGGGTGGGTACCTCGCCCTCCGCTTCCACCCCTCTAGCAGGCCCCTCCTCGGCCCCATCTCCCGCGCTGCCCTCCCCTTGCGCGGGAGCGACGTCCGCCTCGTCCCGCTCGTACGCGATGCCGAACTCATTGGCGCGCTTCCGGTCCACGGGGTAGAGGCGGCGCTGGTAGAGGAGGACGAGGAAGACGAGGTCGTCCCGCAGGCAGGCGACGCGGTGGGCGGTCGGCATCGCGACCATCAGCGCGAAGGCGTCGTCGATGAAGGTGTTGAAGGCCTTGTACGCGAGGACGCGCCACGGCAGGTGGGCGACGCTCTTCATCTGGCGCGAGGGGGGGCGGGGGAGCTCTGCCTCGAAACGGCGTGTGTACTTCCTCGGCGACGGCAGAAGCGAGGGGGCTGGTCTGGCGCAGGCGGGGGCACGGGGAAGGGGGATGCCCTGGGAGGGACCGAGGCCTGGATAGGGCGGGGGGGGGTTGAGCAGCGAACCGCCTTGCGGCTGAAGAAGATCTGGGGATCTCGGGAGATCTCGGGCCATCTCGGGCCCTCTCGGCTCCTCTCGGCGCCTTGTAGTTGATGAAGAGCTGTGGCGTCATCGCGATGAAGCCGAAGAGGTAGATCGCGTCGGCCAGCGAGCCGAGCAGCCAGCTGTACCTGACAAGAGGGTGCAGAATCCAAGGGTGGGTGACTCGCCCCCTCGGAGGCGGGGCTGGCGGGAGGACGGCGGGGAAGCGGCGCGCCACGACGCGTGCGGGTAGTGGAGCAGCGCGTACAGCGCCCAGCCGACGACCAGCGGCGCGAGTCCCCACGTCAAGTGCCGCGTCGCAACCTCGTCGAACCGCTCCGTCGCCGCCTCGGCGCGCGCGCCCTCGCCGCCGGCGCCGGCGGCCGCGCCGCGCGCCCGCCGCCGCATCGCAACCACCTTGGTCAGCTTCCAAAGCTCGAGGGCGGTGGAGAAGGCGTAGGTAGCGAGGACGATCGAGTTGACGCCGTCGCCGTCGAGCAGGTAGAGGAAGATGACGAGCGTGGAGCCCGCGTTGAAGATGACGCCGCGCGAGGACAGGCCCCTCAGGTCCTCCCGCCCCTTCCAGAAGCCGACGTCGTTCCGGAAGGCGAGCGCGTCAAAGACGACGTGCAGCAGCCCGATCAGCTGCATCAGCGCGAAGCGGTAGAGGCGCTTCTCGGAGAGCAGCTCGCGTAGCTCGTCGAACTCGGCCTACAGGAAGGTTCAGAGCCAGGGTCAGGGAAGGGTCAGGGAAGGCACAGCTCGCGCAGCGCGTCAAACTGCCTCCATCCCGCTGGCCGCCTGCAGCGCGCCAAGCGCCGTGTGCAGCTGGCGCGTGGCGCGGTACCGACCGAGGGAGATGGGCAGCAGCCGCAGCCGCAGCCGAGGAGGCTCCTTGCCCACGTCGCTCGAGAGAGGCAGCGCGTGCTTGCCCAGCAGGCCGAGCTCGTCGACGTACAGCCGAGGCGCGTACACGCGCCGAGACCAGTCCACGCCGTTCGCGACCACGGCCCCGTCGCTCGGCAGCACCGGCCCGGCGTGCGGCGTCTCGTCGGCAACCAGCCGCAGCTCGAGGCTCGCCGCCGCATAGAGGTAGTGCGGCACCTCGCCCCGCTCGTTCGGCGGCGCGACGCCGCTCTGCTCGCTGGATGCGAAGGCGGCGGGGACGGCGGCGGCGGCAGAGTCGGAAGTGGCGGAGCCAGGCGTGGAGGAGGAGACGGCTGGCTCGGCGAGCAGCATGCGGGCGGTGCTGCGGCGTCGCGGCTGGCGGCGCGCGCAGAGGAGCGCCCGGGCGTGCGCGATTGGCTGCTGCTGACCTGCGAGCGCGATGGAGAAGTCGAGATGCAGCTCCTCTCGACTGCCCAGCCGCACCTCGGCCGGGACCGGGACAGCAAACGCAACGTCCTCGAGGCCTGCGCCGCTGCTCACACCGGCTGCGCTCCAGACGAGCCGCCCGTCGATGTGCGCCTGCAGGTCGACGGCGGCGCCGCTGCGCAGCAGCGGCTGCAGACAGGCGGCACCGCGGCACGGCGATGGGTAGAAGAGCTCGAGCAGCGTGTGCGAGAGGATCGCCACGTAGACGGCGAGCAGCGCGAGGAGGGCTCGGCCGCAGGTGAGGGCCATGGCGGAGGTCCGATAGGTGCGAAGGCTGGCCGCTCTTTGGCGGCTCCGAGGTTGTTGTTGTGCGCGTCCAGCCGCCCTGGCGTGCGAAAATAAGAATTTAGCCGGCAGAGTGGGACGACCGCGAGGTGGCATGAAGGTTGCAGCGAGAAGCGGCGAGAGACTGCGAAGAGAGAGGAAGAGGCGGACGCCCAAGGGTGGCGACAGCTAGCGCATCACACCCCTCTCCTTAAAATCCCCGTGTGGTGGCGGCGTGCCGTCCTCCCCATCCCTCCCCTGGGTTGTCCTTTTCTTTCTTTTTTTAGCAGACAGGCTCTCGCAGCCGCGCTGCACAATGTTCCAGCTCAGGAGGTCCCCCTGTGCTTCTCGCAGCTTTGTGCAGCGCAACGAGCGGGCAGCGCTGCACGAGGCGGACGCGCGGACCCACGGCGTGCTCAGCGAGCCGCGAGGCGGAGGCAGGCCGAGTGAGCGCGAGCCGCATCGGCGCCCATGTCCCGCGCAGCGGCGAGCGAGCGGCACGGAGGAGTGCAATGTCGCGCATTGCGAAACGGTTTTCCAGCGGTCCTTATTCCATGTCCGAACTTGGAGCACTTGGAGTGCAGTCATCAACCTCACATCCAGGGCCGGGGAGCTAAGAAGCGCGTGCGCGCAAATTCTCTTTGCCGTGATTTTAGTGCTACCCGGGTACAGCCCGGGCCAGCGCGCCAGAGACCCGTGCCCAGTGTCGTGCGAGGGAGCGTGCGCGGGGTGTGTCTGTGTGTGTGACGCGACAAGGGGATGCTGGTCGCGCCTCCCTGCTCAGCCTCCTCCGCCCCGCTGCTGCTAGCCCGCGCCGCGCCGCGGCTCGCTCCGCCGCGGCTCGCGCTGCTCGCGCTGCCCACGGCCACCTCCGGCTCTGTGTGGGCCGTCGCCGCCGTTTCGGGCGGCGCCGCTGTCGCGGCGCAGCTCGGCCTCGTCGCGCTGCTCCGCCGTGCCAAGGGACGGCCGTGGCTGTCCGAGTCGCCCGGATTCGTCGCACACCAGGCCATCGCTCTCGTTTTCATGGCGATCGCCACCGCGGTCGGCGCGGCCGCGTGGCTCAGTCCGGCCGGCTGGGCGCTCGAGCCTGCCGCGCGCTTCCTGGCTCCGGACGGAACGACGCGCTTCCTCGCTGCGATGCTCTTTGGCGAGCTCGTGCTCTGGGACTTGCCGTGCGCCATCTGGATCAAGCAGCTCCGCCGGCCCGACTCGCTGCTGCACCACTTCGCGATGGCGGCCGTCGCGTTCAACGCGATGGCGCTCGCGCCAATCTACTACGGCGTCTTCTACCTCGGCCTCATCGAGGCGTCGACGCTGCCGCTCAACGCCCACGAGTACTTTGCGCACGCCGCGAGGACGCTCGAGTCGTTGCAGCCGGGAGCCCTCCCCGGCGCAGAGCGGCTGCTGCGCCGGTTCCGCGCGCTGCGGGACGGGTTCCAGGCGGCAGCCGCCGCCTCGTTCGTCGCCGTGCGCGGCGTCCTCTTCACCGCCGTCTCGCTGCGCCGCTTCTACCCCGAGGTCGCGCCGCTCCTCGCCTCGCCCGCCGCCGCCCGCCTGCGCGGCCCGCTGTGGGCCCACGCGGTGAGCGTGGGCGCCTTCAACGCGCTGCAGCTCTACTGGCTCGGGCTACTAGTCGCGTACACGGTGCGCAACGGGGTGGGCGGCGAGCGGCCGGACTGAGAGAGCGCGACGCCGGCGGGGTGCGGGGCGAGGGGGGTGAAATTCTCAAAAAGGTGCAGCACTTCTAGCCGACATCGACAAAAGTCACTCTCTAGCCCCGCGGCGAGCGGCCCCGCCGAGGCGAAGAAATTTTTGCCATATTAACGCTCTGACCACACATTTTTGCATATAACCAAATCGACACCTCAAAAATAAGACTGGTTCACGCCTCGAGCGAGTAATGCGTCTGTAGGCCAATATAATACTTAATAGAGCTTCTCGCGCGCTCCTCAGCTGGCGGTCCGCAGGGCGAGAAGCGCAGGCCCGCCAGCCGCACCATGTGGTTCACGTATCACGATGATGAGCGTCTCGGCCGCGAGCAGCGTGTAGGAGCGAAGCTTGCCCTCGCACTCGCGTTGCTCGAGCCTGAGGCCACTGCGCCCTGACCACGAGATAGCCCACGCGGATGGTGTCGGTGTTGACGACCATGTCCTCGGCCAGCGTGTGCGCCTTCCCCTTGTGCCTTGAGCACCGCCAGCCAGTAGAGCCCCTCGAGCGACCATTCGCGCCGATCTGCCAGCTGCTTCGCCTTGAGCGACGCGGCCCACACCTCCAGCGACTCCATCTGCCGCAGCTCGGCCGTCTCGCCTGCGGCACGCGGCGCCTTCTGCTTCTTGACCTTGCCAAAGACGGCGACCATCTCGCAGTCCCCCCACTGAAGAGCAATGCACGGCGGGCACGCGCATGGAATACCGCGCTATGACAGGCGGGCCGGATGATCGGGATCGGGTTACGGGCCAGAATTTTTCTTGTTTATGGAGGACGCACGCTCCCGTCCGCCTTTGCCGGAAAGTTGCGTGACGCTCTGCCACGAAGCTATGACAAAACTCGCATGCCTGGTTCTTCTCGCCATCACTGGGCGCGCCGCGGGCGCGTGCATGCGAGACCTCTGGGCCATCGCGTGGGGTCGTGCGGACACGGCCAGATACGACCAAGCGTACACCTCTGTGTGCGCCGACTCATCCTGCCGTGCCACGGCTCTAACCTTTTCCGGCGCGCTCCCCCAGGTTGGAACATGCAGCCGTAATCAAATCTTGTCTTGCGTCTGCGTCCTGATCGCAAGCGGCTTTTCGCCATCGGCTGTCACCAGCATGACCTCGGCCGGTGCCCTCGATGTTGATTTATTTCGCAGCATTCTTGGAGAGGGTCAGGGTGACGGCTCCTGCGCAGTTTTGTTGGAGTGTTTCGCTGGCTCTGCTGCGTGCGCAGCTGACTTAGTCACCCTTTGCGCTGACGACTCTACCACCTGCCTTCCGACCGCCAGCACCGGGAGTTCACCTTCACCCCCATCACGGCGTCCGGCGCGGGGGAGAAGTCGTTCGCTCCCCGCGAGACTTCCGTCCTGTCGCTCCCTCTCCTGTCTCTCAAGCATCCTTTTCACCACATCCAATTGCTAAAAATCTCTCTCTCTCCACATCCCGCCTTGGATCCTATTTTGCTCGGCAAAAAGAAAGAAAGATAACGGTCACGCCAAACGAGGGATGGGAGAAGGGAAACAGACAAAACCCAGTGGGATGGGCGCGTCAGCACGGCATTTTTCTTGTATCAGGAAGGTCCCCCCGTGAGGCGTCCGCCGCACAGCTGCCTTGCCGTTTGTGTGTGGGGACACGCCGCATGCGGTGAGCGTGGGCGCCCGGGGGGGGGGGCTTGAACGCCGCACAGGGCACAGCTCTACTGGCTCGCCCTCTCCCTCCTCCTCTCTACACACTGCACCCTCCCTGAAGGGCTCACCCCTTCCCCAGCCAGACTCAGTCGCGGTCACAGGCGCGGCATTAGCCACAGTTAACCCATTATGTACCTTGTACGCTGCTCCCACACAGAAGACAGTCTTGATAAATTAACATCAAGAAAACGGACAACCCACTCCAAGTGCACCCTCAGAGACTGTGGAAACTTCACTTCATGACGGTTAGCCGCTGGTCATGACCGTTAGACGCTGTCACAACAGCTGGGAGCTGTCATGACAGCAAACGCGACAGCAACAGTGACAACCTACCTGTCACCAGCTGTCACCAGCTATCATCAGCTGTGAGTAGCTGTCACCAGCTGTCACCAGCCAGGGCTGGTGGACTCCCACATCCACTGGCGGTCTCATCTCAGTCTAGCGACCTGCCTCCAGCTTGTCGCTGGCAGTCTCTCACTACCACAGGCACACTGACACAGGGGTGGCAGGGGCGGCGGCACGAGTCTCCCACATACTATGCGGGCCTCACTAGAGGTGCGGCCTGTGCGTGTCCTCGCCCTTGAGGGGGGAGGGGAAGGGGCTGTGTGTCTGTGCATGTGTGGTGTGTGTCGCCCGCGAGCATTTTGTTGCGTCGCAAGGTCCTCTGAAGATTCATGGCGTCCGATCAGGCCACCGAGCCCGAGCCCGAGCCGACCGAGGACAGCAAGGGCCGCCCCTTCATGTGAGCGCGCGCGCGCGCCCGTCTCCCGCTCCTCGGCGCTGCTGCTGCTCGCCGCCGCCACACCGCTGCCGCGCTGTCTGCGCGCTGCGTCGGCGGGGCTCCGCGCCAAACCTGCGGCCGTCCCGGCCCGCGCGCGCAGGTCCATGGCTGACGTGGAGAGCCACAACACCCAGGAAGACGTCTGGATGGTGATCCACGACAAGGTGTACAATGTCACCAAGTACCTGGACGATCACCCTGGCGGCGAGGAGGTGCTCATGGACAGGGCGGGCCAGAATGCGACGGAGGACTTCGAGGATGTGGGCCACTCGAGGGACGCGCGCAAGCAGCTGGACAAATTCGAGGTGGGCGAGCTCGCGCCGAGCGAACGCGTGGGGAGCACCAGCAAGGGTGGCGGCGGCGGCAGCGGCGAGGGCGGCGGCGCGATGCCGCTCATCCTCGTGTCGGTGCTGGTCGCGGTGGTGGGCGCGGCATACTTTTATTACTCGCAGGAGACGGCGGCCGCCAGCGCCGCCGCCGCCTAGTGCGAGTGATAAAATTATGGATGTCGCGCCGCCACCACGGCTTCAATGGCACAGACAGGTGTACTTCTCGCTCGGGCGGCATCGATCGCGACAGGGTTGCCCTCTTGGGCCCCGGCGGACACTGCGCCAGCTCCGAGCTTGACTTCCCGGCGGCACACCGCCAGCTCGGAGAACAACCTACAACGTCAGCCAAGCGGCGTGTGTGTGTGAAGCGCTTCTTGTTTCATGTATCAATTCTCTTCCTATCTGTAGAAGAGATTACGCGGAACACACTGTAACATGGGGTCCCGTACCAACTACCGTGCGGAATCGACCCTATCCAGGGCTCAACGTGACGAGCGCGTAATTCTTCGTGGTATGTCATGGTGGAATTCTTTTCTGCGTCACCAGTCCCGTGCCCTCGTTCGTAAAATCCAGTCCTGTGTAAAAGAAAGAAAGAAAACAGAAAGCCGCATAGAATTCTTCTGGCAAGCTTGGGGGCCCCCCGGGACTCCCCGACTCGAGCTGTTACCTGTTTTGACGGGCGATGACCTCGCGGACTCGACAGCAGGACATAGCCCCGAGCGTCTCCGAGGCCCTGCGCCTCATGAAGCAGGCAGTGCAGTCGTCGCTGGACCTCGGAGACATTAACCCGCAATCGGCAAAGCGGAAGCACGTGTCTCCGCGCCACTTGCCACGCACGACAGCGCACAGCCTCAACCCTTGTATAGGTTTGCAAGGCGGTTGGGATGACCAAGCCGCAGCTATCTTCGTGGCTCACGACGACGTGTGCGGTCCCAACGTCCAACTTCCCACTTACCTCGCCCCGCTGACGCTGAAACGGTCCCGTCGTCACGCGGTCGCAGGTCGCCGTCCCCCCACTGGGACGCAAAGGTTGCCGAGTGGCTCAAGCAGGCCCAGGCCCGCGCGCTGAGCGCAAACGGCGCGCTGCTCCCCTCACCCCATACCCTCCACCTCGCGCCGGTAACGTCGCCCTAACCGCCTCCGCCCCGGCCCGACGTAGCTCCGGCCCGCCCCTCCTGCCGGCACAGGCGCGCAGCACCGCGGCGCGTCTTCCAGCGTAAGCTCCAAGGGGTCGGGCAAGGCGGCCAAGGCCAGCCAACCGGCCAAGGCCAGCCCGAGCGGCGGCGCGAGCGCAAAGGCGGCGACGAGCAGAGAGAGCACGCCCGGCGGCAAGGGCGTGCAAGCCGGCGGCAAGGCGAGCACGGAGCAGAGCGTGAGGAGGCTGAAGCAGGACTTGCTCGAGCTCGAGACGTACATCCCCTGGACCGCCGTCTCCTCCGCGTGGCAGTCCAAGCGCGCCGCGTGGGAGCGCAAGACGTGCGAGGCGGAGAGAGAGGGCGACGCGACACGTCCACGGCGCGTCTTCACGGCGGCGTCGCACCTCGCTCACGGTATAGGTGCGCGGCGGGGGACGCCGGGTGCGTGGTGCAGCAGCTGCTCGCGCTCGAGCGCTTCCTACTGCCGTGCGCCTTCGAGGCGCGCTGGAGCGCGGGCAATGAGTGGCGCGCGAGGCTGCTCCGCCAGAACAGCGCGGCCGACGTGAAGCAGTCGCTGCGCGCGCCGGAGGACGCGATGGGAGCCTTCCAGGAGCCTTCCAGGAGCCTTCCAGGAACCCTCTAGGCGCGAGCTGGAGGACGCGATGCACTGGGCGCGCTTCGGCGCGCACAGCACGCTCGTGGAGCGGCGCCGCGGCGCTGCGTGTGCGGAGGGCGCAAAAGAAAAACACGTGGCCCCACGCTGTCCCCCGCCTGCCGTGTAGGTATGAGCAGCTGCTCACGTCGCGGGCGGGCGAGCAGCTCGAGCGGCTCGGGGCGAGGAGGCTGGCGCAGGTTCGGAGCACGATCGACTCGTTCGGGTGACGCGGCGGAGCCTCGCGCACCCGACACGTCCCTGGACGCGCCCACGAGACGCGTCCACGACACGTCCGTAGGTACGCAGGCCTAGCCGACATGGCTCAGGATTGCATCGCCATCGCGGGCGGCGCCGAGGGCGCAGGCGCCGAGCTGCGCGAGCTGCGCGAGAGCATCTGCGCCGCGCTGGGCGTGCCGCTCACGGACGCGCTGCTGCGGCTGCCGGCCAAGTGCGCGCGCTCGACCCTTCTAGGAACCTTCTACGAACCTTCTACGAACCTTCTAGGCTGCCGGCCAAGGGCGCGCGTTCGACCGACGCCAGCGACGACCTCTCCAGCACCACCAGCGCGCTCGCCGCCGCGCCCGACGACGCCGACGGCGGCGGCGGCGGCGAGGCGGGAGGCGAGCTGGCCGCGGCCGCCGAGCCGGGCGGCGGCGGCGGCGGCGGGTTGTTCTCGGAGGAGGTGCGGCTCGCGGGCGCCAAGCGCGAGCGGGTGGTGTCCAAGGAGCAGCGCTTCGAGGAGTTCAAACGGCGACAGCGGCTCCACCCCGAGATCACGGGCGCGCGCACCGGCCGCTTCCCTCTTGGGGCGCCTCGGCACTTTCTCGGCACCCGTTCGGCACCTTCCTGCAGGCGTGTACGCCGACCGGTTCCTCGAGCGCGCGCCCGATATGCGCCACTTCCAGGAGCTGTCCCAACCCAGCGGGGGTGCGCCGGCCTTCTCGGAAGCGTCTTTGAGGCGTCCCGGAGGCGGGGCCTGTAGGAGCTGATCGTCTTTCGCGAGGCTGCGAGCGCGGACGGGGTGGCGGGGGTGCTGCTCCTCTCCCCCGGCACGACCCTCTTTCAGCTGCGCCGCCAGCTCGCCTCCGAGCTCGGCCTCGAGGGCCGCAACACCACCCTCTCACGCCTCGCGGGCTCCCCAAACCCCGTCGCCCCGAGCCACCCCCTCGGAGCCCGTCCCGTAGGCGGCGACGACCTCCCCATATCTCCCCATATCTCCCCATATCTCCCCATGTCCCGTAGGCGGCGACGACCTCGAGCTGCGCCGTGTCGTGTGGGAGGGGGAGCACGCGCCGGCCGCGGACGCGGCCGGGGGCATCCCACTGCCCGCCGCGCAGAACCACAAGCGCGACGCCCGCCTCCTCTCCCCCGGCATCGGACGCGTCCTCGACACGTCCCGTGCCGAGCCTGTCTGGTAGGCTGGCCTACCCCTTCTTCCCGCTCGCCAGCCAGGTCCTCGTCGTGCGCAGCCCGGCCGCGCCGGCCGCTCCGCTCCCCTTCCTCCCCGGCGACACCGCCCTCTGCGCCGACATCTCGCGCGGCCGCGAGGCGCAGCCAATTGCCCTCTTCAACAGCGCGGACGACGAGCCCGCGCCCGTCTTCACGTGCGTGACGCAGTGCTGTCTAGCTGTCTAGGAAGTGTCTACGAAGTGTCTACGAAGTGTCTAGGTACGTGACGCAGTGCGTGGTGAGCGAGTCGCTCCGGCTGTTGGTGGGCGGGCCACAGCTCGGCGCCTGGCTCTGCCCGAGGCTGAGGGGAGGCGGCGGCGGCGGCGGTTGCGGCGGCGGCGGCGGCGGCGGCGAGCCAAACTACGACCAGCACGGCCGGCTACGCTTCGCGCCGCACACCGTCGAGTCGATTTGGGAGTGCTGCCTCGAGAGCATGTGCCGTCCGGGCTGCGACAACCGGCTGGTGCAGTACGGGCCGCGCTTCCGGCTCGAGGCGTTCCGCTGTGTCGCTTGGCCCCGCGTGGAGGCCGCCTCTGCTCACTGTCTGCTGCGAGTCAGGTGTTCCGCTGCCCGCCCGTCGGCCGCATCTCCAAGGGGTGGGGCATCCGCAGCCCCGAGCTGATCCCGCGCGGCTCCTTCGTCTGCGAGTACGTCGGCGAGTACATCTCCGACGACGAGGCGGAGAGCCGAGGCATCCGGTACGATAACCAAAAGATGAGTCGGCTGATGGACGTGTACGGAAACGGCAGGGATGCGGTCCACATGTGCATCGACGCACGACATGGACGAGGTATGAACGGCGTCTCTTCACACCTGCTGCTGTGAACAGGTCCACATGTGCATCGACGCGACCAAGTTCTCGAACGTCGGCGCGCGGCCCACCCCTCGCCTGGCTACGCCGCCCACGCCCGCCCGCGCTTCCCCTCGCCACCACCGCTGTCCCGACCGCCGGACAGCCACACTCGCAGCTCCCGGCCTCCCCCCTTGCCCAGGCCGCTTCCTCAACCACTCATGCGAGCCGAACGTCTTCAAGCAGCGCGTGTTTTGCGACCACCACGTGCGGCTGCCCAGGATAGCCTTCTTCGCCCTCGTGGACATCCCGCCTCGCGTGGAGCTCTGCTACGACTACGGGTATGTGGACGTGCCGGGCAAGACCATGCCATGTCTCTGCGGCGCAAAGAGCTGCAAAAAGCTGCTGTATTGAGCGCGAAGCGGTTTTCTCTATTACTATTTTGAGTGTACGTATTAAACACCATGTGAGACGCGTGATGTCTGATGATTGTACTCTTATGATACCTGAGATTTCCTCCCCACCGGCGCCACCGCCTCAGCCAATACTTTATATTAAAGCCGTATAGTGATTAGTGTGCTCTCTTGTCCAGCCCCTTGGAGTGTGAAAGGCTTCGTAGCCCTCCGGTCTACTATGAAGATCCGCAGGACTGGAGCGAAAAAAAAGCAAGCGAGTGACTCTTGTCACAGTTCCCGCTCTTTGAGAGTGAGTCAGAGGAGCTGCGGGTCAGGCTGACCGTCAGCTCTCTCGACAGCCCTGGAGCGCGCGCTGTGCCCACGCCTGGCCTGGCACCTGGGCTAGAGCGCGCACAGGCCGCACAGAAAAACACCGGCCCAGCGGCAAGCGAGAGCCGCGGCGCGCGGACCCCTCGGACTGACGGACTCGGCCCTCGGCTCGCCGTTTGGCCACTCGAGTGTGACATCCAGGCGCCAAGCCGCAGCGCCTCACAGGAACCAGAGCCCGTTCTCCTTCATCGCCGAGACGAGCTCGACGAAGTCCTGCTCGTCATAGCTGGAGAGGGGACGCGGGCCGGGAGGCGGGGGAGGTCAGACCGTCTCGCGAGGTGAGCTAGGCGGGCCGGGGGGGGGGGGGGGGGGAGACAGGGAGAGAGGGATGGAGGGAGCCGCGCCGGTCGAGCCGCAGGCGGTCTCTCTGCGCCGGCTTGGCGGCGCGTTCGATGGCCGCGCCGCTCCGCTTCTGCTGGCCGTACAGGAGGGGCGAGTCGAAGAAGGAGAGCGGCAGCAGGCCGACGCGGGTCCCGCCGGCAGGGCCGCCCGGCATCGTCACGACGGCGGTGCTCCCCGCCGCCGCGTCGTCGAGGCTGGGCCTGCTGTTGGAGAAGAGCTTCCCGAAGCCGTTGAGGATGCAGTGCGCCCCGTTCCACCAGCGCAGGTAGAAGTCAACCATCCCGAGCCGCACGCCCGCCACCTGGTGCGCCACGGCGCGGCTGCGCTGCTCGGCGCTGCCCGCGCCGCGCAGCCAGACGAGCGACCTGGCGGGAGGACGAGCCGCGTGTCGCGCTGACGGAGGCTACCCGTGCGGGGCGGGGCGGCGAGCCAGTTCGGGTTGCAGCCCGCCGGCGAGCGAGGCGTCGTCCTGCCGTCGCAGTTGCCGCGAGGGACGCTCACGTCGACCGAATGCGCAGCCTCGTGTAGCAGCGGTGCCGCGTCGCGCAGCAGCACGTGAGAGCAGTCCATCAGGAGCACGTCGACGCCGCTCGCCGCCACGGCGGCGGCGGCGAGGTGCCGCTCCGCCTCTGCTCGCTGAATGTGCCTCGCCAGCCGCGTGCGATTGAAGTCGGCCATGGCAAGCGAGCCGTCGACGCTGCGAACGCCTCGCGCTGTCAGGTGCGCGTGCGCCTCGGCGTCGAGAGCGTACACGAGAGCATTCTTTAGGCCGAGCCTCACGAATGCTCGCATCCAATTGCTCGCGATCTCGCGGAAGTCATAATCGGCGGCGCACATGTACACTAGTCCTTTGGAAGCAGCATCTTTCGCCGCGGCCGCGAGCGGTGCGTACAGCGGCGAGGCGGGGTCCGGCTCGTGAGGGTTCAACTTGAGGGACCCGCCTCGGATATCGTATGGGTTTGAGCCGTGTGTGATGCCCTGGGCATTTCCCTCGCCCGGACGGCACGCTCGTCCGTCGCAAACCGTCTTGTGCGGAGACGTGGCGGCGAGGTGGCAGAGGGTGAAGAGGCTGAACATAGCAACGCAATGTCCGGCACAACGACAACGGAAAGGGGAGGGTGGTCGCGATGTGGCCGAGTTCCAGCGTCAGTCCGGCTCGCGGGGGGCGCTGAACGGCTTCCGTGTGCTCGATCACGAGGCTGTACCTCGGCGTGCGTCGGCAGGACAGAGTCGGCAGGACAGAGCGGCCGAGTTCCAGCGCGTCAGACCGGCTGGGCGCGCAATTTCTTTTGAGCTTAGCCTTCGATGTTATGAAAACACGCAAGGCGGACATGGCATATCGCTCTCGGGCTCACAGACATCCCTCACACCCGCCGCCCCCGCGCGCGCCCCACCCCGGCCGGGAGAAAGGGGAGTGACAGTTTGGGATGGCAACAGCCCGAGTATGTTGAGTCCTGGCTCAACAACGCAGAGAACAAGAGGGGGTGGTCCGGCTCACAAGTCCGGCTCACGCGCCTCGAGCTGACCCTCTACCGCACTGATCACTTCCGCCCCCTCGCTCCCAACCCATCCACCCCGCCCCGGGCCGCGCCGCGCGATCTCGGGCGATCTCGCGCTATCTCGGGCGATCTCGGGGCCGCGCCGCGCTATCTCGGGCGATCTCGCGCTATCTCGGGCGATCTCGGGGCCGCGCCGCGCTATCTCGGGCGATCTCGGAGCGTCGCTCGCGCGGCGTCACACCTGCTCAAAAAGGAAGGAGGTTGGAGGCAGGAGGTCACGCCCCATCCAGAGCGCCGTCGTCGCCGGGTTTTTGGCCCCCGGGTCGTCGCCCGACGGTTGCTGCGCGGGGCAGCAGACCATCGGACGGCGCGACGACGCCCCGTCCGGCACGCTCCCCCTCCACCCGGCTATTGCCGCACGAGCGCCCTCAGCGGCGGAATTTTTCCCTCGCGCTTCCTTGGGCCCCCGGCAACGCCGACGGACTTCCCGTCCCCCCACCTGCGCCGCAATCACCGCCGTGATTGTCGGCGCTGCGCCCCTTGGCGCTTGTGCATGTCCCGCGTGCCCGCCCGCCAAGGCTGGTGCCAAGGCCAACTCAACTGCCAAGGCTGGTGCCAGGGCCAAATCAACTGCCTGGCTGGTGCCAAGGCTCAAAGGCTCTCCTCTCTCTCTCCTCCCCT